GGGACAAGTAGCCATCGTGAGAAGATCAGATGCAATTTCAAATTACACCGGATGGAATAGGTGCCATAATTCAAATCACGATAGTAGTTGTCTCTTCGAAGGTGTATTGAGGCGTGCGTGTTTTAAGTGGGGATTACATCTTTTTGTTTTTGTGGAAAGGGAGCTTTTATATGACTCCATATAATATAATTAGTGTTAGCAAAGAAAACTTTTGTTTATTATCTTCGCAGCTATTTAGAATTGTTATCCAAATTATGCGATAAATGACGGCATGAATTAATTATTCACGACATTCATTATCACTGTTCAGTTGTTGCATTTTATTCACATGGTAGGCTTTATTTTAATTCTTATTCATAATCACAATGAATATCTTAAATAATTTTTGAGATAAAAAAATTTTAAAATCCTGGAATGCAATTTTATATTTAAATCGAGTTATTTTTAAAAATAGAGGACAAAGTGTTTCCAATAAACGGTATCCCTCCTAAAAAAATTGGCTTACTGATATTTAATATACAATAAAAGAAATTATATCAGTACATACGATTGCCATACTATATGCTGTAGGTTAAAAACACATGTATTGAATGTAAAAAGAACACTTAATAGCATTTTAAGATCTTTTTTAGTTCGAGAGGTAGACAATTAAGCTTAAGATTGTTTTGCGATGTTTCTAAATTAACATTTTCAGAAAAAAAAAACATCAATTGATTCTCGCCTTTGTGGGTAAAAAAAATCGAGCTTTAATTGTCTGCGGTTTGATTGAAGATGTGGTTTTAATGGGTTGTATATATATATGTAGTTGATATTTATAATTTTTTCAACATCTAAACCCGATTACTCACCAAACCGATGGGAGTGAATGAATATTAACGTTGTGCACTATTCAGCTACTAAAGGGCTTTTGGCGACGGACCTCGTCATTTTGAACCACGGTGAAGTGACGAGGACTGCACTGGTACCCCTCTTTTTCTAGCTCCCACACCAACGGGAGGACGTTTGAGATTTGACAGACTTTCTTACACGGCGGATCTTCAGCGGTACGACATTTGGACTCATGAACATGTGTTGTGATACCGATTGCTTAAAAAGCACTAAAAATCTCGTGACACTTTTCTTCTTTTCATCTATTTATTCTACAAGGAAGTCAAGAACGGTTTTATTTTATTCGATGGATCTCAACCATAGAAGTATGGTAGTCAGGAATTGTTTGAAGTTATGACTATAACAGATTCCTCTGGAATGGTGATAACTACCATCGATTAAACACACGACAAAATGTTAGGTAAAATCCTTTTTTGATGCAGTGTTCAATAACAGTTTTGGAGAAGTCTCGCTAACATAGAGTCAAGTAGGATTGCCAGATTTGAAGGAACGAGAAGTCCATTTCTGCGCATAAAAAGGAGGAATGTTTGCTTGGCGAACTTATCGCTAAGTTTCGCGACAAAAATTAACCGGTGCCAAGTAGTGCACTAAAATAGGATTTAACCACTTAGATCAGGGGTACTCAACCTATTTTTTCTGCTGGGCCGTATGCATATGTCAGCTATTTCACGCGGGCCGCATACGTATGTTAGTTATTTCATACGGGCCGCAACATGAGGATAAATGGAGGTGGTGTGTGTGGGGGAGAAATGCTTTAAGACTAAGATAACAATGGAAATTTAAATGCGGAAAATTAATCAAAATATTACAACTCCTGTTTTGCTTTTTTAATTATTGTTTTTTATTTTTGTCTCTAACACTAAATTAGAAGCATTTAAGAAACACCCCTTCACGATTTCTACATTAGTAAACGGTTTCATACAGTAGCGCACACAGGAATTTTTCAAGGAAGGGGAGGGGTCGAAAGTTCACCGTTCTTGTATCATGCTCCTTTTGATTTTGTAGATTTTTAGGTACAAAACACAGTAAAAAACTAATTTTTGAATAAATAATTAGCATTAATTAATAAAATTAATCATTAATAACAAGTAATTAATTAAATTTTACGTACTATATACTCAGAATTATATTAAATCGGAAAAAAATCAAGGGCTTTTGGGGGGGGGTCGGGTCCCCAGGCCCCTGTGTGCGCCACTGGTTTCATATGATTACCAATAATATAACAAACGTCATAGGATGTCTTTATTACCGATGTGATACTACCACTAATAAAACATTTTGTTGATGTTGCAAAGATTATTCAAGAAAACCTATTTATCACCTCTTGAAAGAGATCTAGGAAAAGGGTCAGTGAATAATTCCTGTGTTTATTGGTATTTTTTAAGTACAGCACTTTCGTGACAAATCAAGTAATTATTGATCCATGTTTTTCACTACAAAACAGTCAACCTCCCAATTGTCTTGAAAAGATATACTTTCCTCGAATATTTTTCGCTTGCAAGATATGAAGGATAGTTAAAAATTAGTTCCACCCATAAAATTATCGCTAATCCACTGTTGTGTTTTATCACTAACCGTAACCGTTCCCAATAGAAAAAGAATATCCATTCGTACCCGTATGACACTGGCAGCAAAAAGCAAAATTCATGTATTTGATTTCTTGACAATGAATTTCCCTCCATACGTTTAATACAATGTTCTGAAGTAAGTGAATTTCTCTCAGAACAATGGACCATGACCGGGCCGCTTAAAAAGGCCGCAAGTGGAGTATCGCCGACTTAAATTATATCAAAAATTATTCTCAAAATTTTCTAGTGGCTTGCATCATTACTCGATGCCATCAGTTTATTACGAAATAATAGCTGCATACATGAATAATTGATGAAGATTTTTCAAGATATAGCAACCTATTGGATACTTTCCGAAGGACAATTGTTAAAATTCGTCGATATTCGCCAGTCACTTAAAAATCGACAATGGCATGGGATAAATACATAAGTACCAGATTTTATTTAATTTGTGCGGCATTAATAAGAAAAATCGAGGCTTTTATATAAGATAACTATCACCTAATAATATGATAGCTATCACCTAAAAACTATAACAGCTATAGTTTTAGCTAACTGCAAAAATAAATATATAATAGCTGTCACTTAAAACTAGAAAATTCAATTATGCTTAAAATTAATTTCAATATCAGTATAATTCTGATAAAGGTATTTTTTTTTAAAAAAATGTGTTCCGTTTTATTCATTTCAGAGTTAATTTTACTTGAATTACAAATTAAACAAAAAAAGCTTTTTGCATATCTCAGCTGAACAAAAAAAAAAAAAAAAACACCTTTGGTAAATTTTAAGTATGTAGATCTAATAGCTGATAAAAAGGGTTTTTTTTTTATTTATAACTCCCGTAACACTCCTGACGGTCGATTTTTGAAAATACCTCGCTAAGTTGATCTCTGCTCAGCAAAAGTAACACATTGATAAAAGTTGTGTGTAATGAACGCTTAAAATAGTGTAAATAATTTATATCTGAAAGTGTTATGCATTAATATTACTTTCTGTTGTATTTATTTTATGTTAAAACTGTAATATTCGCAAGTAACGCCGTTTCTTATATTATAATGGCGATTCAATGAAAAACATAGCGAAATGTTAACGATCGAGTCAAGTTGGCAAATGTCTAGCTACTTTCATAGCTCGAGCTTTATTAGAGCTTTGTAAGACCCGCCGTGTAGGAAAGCGATGCACGTTAATACTTTATCCACCGCATTATGATTTACTTCAGGTTTTTTCATACAATATTTTTTTTGGATCACTACATTGAAAATTAAGGGACATACATAAACAAAATACTCCACTATGGGAAGTTTAATCCGTCAGTGCTAATGAATTAATTAAAGATATTCCACTGTAAAAATAATTATATACACCGTTCACTTAAAATAGATAGTCAAATCCTTTTCTAAGGTCTTCATTAACATACAAAAACATAAGATACTTAAATTTTGACAAACTATTTTTTCGGGACAAAAATAATAATCTTTGCAATCCGCTGAAAACGCAATATCTGCTACAAAACTATTCGCCTTCCCCGCTAAAATACACATCATAGAACTTGGAAGAGTGAATTTTAAAGAATATTCCTGCTAAGTATTGGTAGAATATTCCTTCTTAGTTGGTGTGGTGTGGTAGTTAGGAGAAGGGGGTGCCAGCTCAGGTGTCGTCCACCTCACTTGAGCATGGATCAAAATTATGTGGTCCGTTGCCAAAAGCCCTCGTGTAGCTGAACAGGGTGACGTTAATATTCACTCCAAAAAATACAGTACAGTATTTATAATTATTTTTATACTTAAAAATACAATATCCGCCTATTCAATTAAAATTATAGCGTTATAATTAACTACTAACCCCAAACAAACTATGCAAATATGTCCAAATGTTCATAATAAAATCATGAAAAAAATATATTCAAATAGAGATTTATAACAACCCCTCCCTTCAAAACTTAGTTTTATTCTGAAATAAAAAAAATTAGGGATTATGCTGATCACAGGAATTAATTATAAGCGAGCGCCTTGCGTAGCCAAAACAAAAAGGGTTTCTTCACAAACAAAAGATAGATATATGCTGTCGTTGGCTTTTTTGCAGCGCACGCCAGAATTGCTTGCAGATGACAGAATTTTTTCTACTTACTTGACAAATATCGTTATATTTTGGACACTTCACACAATATCTTTATAAATTATAGCCTATGCTATAAATTATAGCCTATGTGTTATTCTGACGAATAAGCTATATTACTGTAAAGTTTCATTAAAATCCATTTAGTGTTTCTTGAGTGAAAGACGGCCAAACATCCTCACAAACTTTCGCATTTATAATATATATCTAGATATGTATTGTTCAAATTTTCTATTGTTAATAAAATACTTTTCATTCATCCACTCAAGTTTAAATACATTTTTTAAACTTGTAGTGGATGACACTTGACGTTAACACATGTTTTCAAATATTTTTTCATTAATTTAATTTAATTTAATTAATGAATAAATAGTACCAAACAAAAATAACGGTCCAACCCTATATATAAAAAGGAATGTCGCTCGTTGTGTCCCTGTTGCGCAATGGATAGCGCTTTGAACTTCTAATCCAAAGGTTTAAATCCCACCTGGGATAGCTTAATTTCTAAGAAGGATTTCTTTTTACTATACTATTTTATTAGAATTTAATTTTATAATTAATTAATAAATAAAAACAAGCAAAAAATAGTCCAACACCCTATATAGAATGGAAAATTGCAAAGAAAATCGCTATCTATTTTGCCACTTAATATTGTGGTTCTGTCATATGTATGTACATATTTATATTAATTGTAATTATTTAATAAAAAGTAACTAAAATAAAAATTTTCTTTGTTGGCCGAAGTAGGAATTTACTTTAAAAAAATGTTTATCTTACTTGTTTGATATTTCTTTTCCTTAATAATTTCCTTAATATTTTCCTTCAAATATTTCCTTAAATGTCTGTTTTGATTCCATTACAATTAGTTATTGAGGTAATTTATTTATGCCTTTGTATTAATTAGTAACAAAATTCTTTCGTTTTGCTTTTGAATTAAAAAAAAGTTATTCATTTCACAATCATTGACTTACGTCAACACTTTTATCAAAGCACCTTTGGTAAAGTACAGTATGTCTGTATCAAAAAGGAACCACTGGGAATTGAGTTTTTGGAATGAGGTGTCATTCAGGAAAACAAAAATAACATAGTTCGTGTACCTGCATGTAATAGAATATATATATATATTTCGATCAGTACTTGTATCAGTAAGATAAATTATCCTTATAGGGAAAATAATTATAATGTTCTTTGATGTTTGAATTTCCCTATTTTTTTCATTCCTGTCCTTTACTGTTCTCAGTATGCCTTGAACGCGACATGACTGTCAAGCGATGCCAACGCAATTAAATTAAATAGTTTATTATCAGCATTTGCCATAGATATATCCCCTGGAATACATTAAGATACTATTCAATATTTCAAATTAACACGCATCCTATTTCATTTATATAAGCCGTTAGGGTCATCTGTAATATATGACATACGTTTCATGTTTTCTGTCGTGTTCGTCCCATTCGTCCCAAGGTCATTAGGTAAAAGATATGATGATTACTTCAGAACCCGAAGCAGTGTACCTTTACAATTAACAAAATGATGTTGCGGTGTAAACTGCTTCTTGTAAGATTTAATCACTGCAGGTAATCAGTTGGCACAGCTACGCAAACACATAAATTCATATCCATAATTATAAAGATATAAATTACAGCGGTAATTGGGCGCAAAAATAAAGAAAGAAACGGCCCACTTGCCGAAATTCATCCCAACTGCGAATGATTGAATGGAAGGAGCAGTTAGAGTAAGTGAGGATCACGTTCGGGACACAACAGGAAAAGAGAACTGATATGGCCTCATTTTGGCTTGATATCTGTTATTGCTGAAGATGTAATTATTGGGTGCATGACTGAACTATTGATCCTGTTTTGGGAAGTACCTTCGATGTGTGACCTTTGAAATAATATACATTTCTGGTTGTGGAAGTATTGTGATTTGAAAAAGGATACGCGCGGAAACCTTGTTAATTTGGATATCGCGAATTCAAACACAACTTTCTGTTAATTCCTTATTAAGTTTTTGAATTAGTAGACGGAATAACATTTTCTTAAAAAGTTTTGAACAAAATTACCCGAATTATAACATTTGCCGAGAGAATTGCCGTTTGAAAGCTAATAAGATTGAAAGAAATTCTAAATTAGTGTATGTATAGTAACAGACCTTTAAAAAATTATTTTCTTATAAGTGGTATTATTTGTGTTCATTGAATGTAGACTTATGGAGGCATTGATTTAATGCAACTTGTTGGATTGTGAGAAGGTTCTCCTCACATATACTCTGAATATTAACTTTTAAGTGTTTTATTGAAACTATAATATAAAATGAAGAGTTTTTCTTTGAAATCCTTGGCGCTTTAGGAATGAACAAAAAAAGTTTGCAAAAAGGAAGACAAATGGATGCGTCAATGCAGCGGTTCTTAAACTGTGGTCCGTGGACCCCAGGGAGTTCCGATGCTTTTATAAAGAGTACGCGAAAATCTCTCGTTTCTTGTTAAGATTTCCCTCATTTACATACTCTGAAAGGCCTTTTGAAAAAATTGAAAAATGCGCCATTCTAGACTAAATCACAAATGAAAAAATGCTACTTTGAAATTGGCTTGCAAGCACAAGTCCCTTCCTTGGGGGTCACGAACAGGAAGAGCATTCATGAGTTGTCCATGAAATTTTTGGAATTTCTGATGCTTTTTCAAATACTTATTCACGTGTAAAAGAATATTTTCAGCATACTTCTTTATCTTAAAAATAAGTACACAAAGCGTAGAACCGGAAGTGAGGATATAGTTATGACAACAGCACTTGAAAAGGAAATGCTGCACACCATCTGTCTCATTAAAATTTATTTAACACAGTTAAATTGCGTAAGTTTATGTATCTTTTTCTGAAAAACTACTTGCTCCTCACCGGTAAAATTTTAACAGTAGATTATGTATACTATCAATCACAATTTAACAAAGGGTTTTGTCTTTTTGTTAATTAAATTATAATTTTTTAAAAAATTGTCCAATTTTTTCCAAATAAAATTTAGTTTAAAAGAGCCATATCTAAAAAGGTTTGCTAGCTATATATCTAATTCCCTCCATTAAAATGCGCAAACATGTTAAAAATATGCTCATTGAAAACTTGAGGATTATATAATAAGTAGTTTTGAAGAAAAAGGTACATAAAGTAAAAAACATTACGTTTTGAGAAAACAGGCTTTAAAATAAAAATTTGGAATTTTGTGAGCATTTACTTTTTTAGTACTATGTCGTAGTTGTTTAGTACTAAAGGTACATATGAAGCATTTTTTTTTTACTCTTTTGCCCATACAAAAGACTTCTAATTTTCTTTTTTTTTCGTTATTTTTGACAATTTTACCTTTTTTGGGATCACAAGATGCTTTCGTTGGGCTACACAAATCCTACGAGTATCTAGTTTTTTTGAAGCATGACACAAAGTTACAACATGGTTCAATATCACAATGTTTTAAGATCATTAATTTTGCTACATGACTTGTATTGAACTGAGCAATATCCATACTTACCCCTAATTTCGGAGTTTTGAATTTCACAAATGTAGATCTTGGAATCACTGACCATATGGTGCTATTAACTGACTCATTTGGGTTCCGAGACTTTCCTTTAAACATTTTCTTAATAATATAGGATCACCTAGATCTCTAGAAGTTGGCTTCATTTATTTCATTATGGTTTGTGTGTATGATTAGAGCGCCTTTCGTTATATTCAGCTTCTGTCTTTTGAAACTTGCACCAGGCATTTATTCCCGCAAGACACAGTTCATGTTGAGGCCTGTTGTTTGAAAGCAGAAGATACAAATAAACAGCCCAAATAGCAGTTTTCATTCTGTGTAGATCATTGATATTATTTGTAGCCATACTATAATATCTCTGAATTTTTTATATTAATGTCGGCGAGTCGGTTACGACCACAGGCTTTTTTCATCACTTATCTCACCACCCACTGTTTCGCTTTCAAAATCCAAAAGACATGTACCTATACACTTTGGACAAGCCCAATACACTCTTCCTTTTCCACATGAGTATCATAGTATTCGTGCTCATCAAAACTTGTGCAGGGGAAACACGGGGCACGTCAAGGAGAGAGAGTAGCTTCATTTAAAAAAATAAAAATATTTCTAATTATCGTATTTCTTCATCCATTTAATTTTGAACAGAAATACTTGAACTTTTAAAAAATATAAAAAAAGTGAAAATCAACAATTTTTCGAAAATTCATGTGGCGGACCCCCTTAAATGAACTATTTATTTGAAACTATTATTTTTGTGATATTTATATATGTACTAGAGGACGCAACAGACGTCGTCCTGTGCACGCATCTTCAATTCAAAAGACATGGATTCAACACGCTAGAAAGCGGGAATCGTCTGCAACCATAAAGACCGCGTTTGGCTGAAAATCAATTTTCGACGCCAACTTACGTCTTTTTCAATTCCTACTATCAGCTCGCGATCTCTAAAATATTTATACATTTATTTACTCATTTATTTATCTTGGTGGAATTTTCAATCGTTAATAAAATACATTTTAAAGCGCTCAATTGAGCTGAAATGTAATGTGCGTGATTATTTTGGATGACAATACAATAATTTAATTATAATTAATAAAAGTTAATGGATTAAAACTAATTGTTTAAAAAATTACAAATAGAGCCACGTTGGCGACTTCTGTCAAAATTTGAAAAGGTTTTTCTCTCACATGTTAAAGCATTCAGTTGAAAGGAAATTTTATATACACGATTGTTTTGGATGACAAAACGATACTTTAATGATAATTAATAAAAATTAATTACCACTTAATGTTGTGATTCTGTCATATGTATATACATACTTATATTGATTGCAACTATTTAATAAAAAGTAGCTAAAAGAAATTTTTTTTGGTTGATCTAAGTAGGAATTGATTTAAAAAATTTTTTTTATATTACTTGTTTATAACAATAGCGTTGTTACAAAAATGCAGGTGAATATTGAGTTGTATTTTTTGAATGTTTTTAATTAATATATTTTTAACTAATTGAAATATTGGACCGAATTGTGAATCTAAACCTTTCTCGAATTGACTTGAATCCACACAAAAAATTTCATCGAAATCGGTCCAGCCGTTTAGGAGGACTTTAGTGACATACACATGCACAGAAGATTTTTATATATAAAGATAATTAGATGTGTACTGTGTTTTCTTAAAGGAAAAAAAAGAAGTGTTACAAAAATCCGTATAATTAACAGAGACAGGTTTAGGATTATTGATGAACTTTTATATCCCTCGTCCATGTGTTCTAAACCTTTGTTGGGATGGCGCGGAAGGGGGTGGGGTTCAAAATCTTGGGAGTCCACGACGTCAGGTAATACGTAAAGGGGTCACTGCGATCGAGACTTTAAGAACCGCTGCGTTAATGTATTAAAGTTATAGATGGGGAATGTATTTAAATTTATTCTTTCCTTTTAAATTTCTTTTTCTACAAAGGATAAGGATTTGTCTCGATAT